CCCCCAAACAGGATGTTTCACATATGATTGAAATCTCCCTCCCACAATAGTCACAAAGACTGCCCTGTCGGCACAGCACTTGATGGACACAGCAGGTAGTGGGTCTGCTATCTCAGGAGGGCGTAGCAGGAGGCAAGTCTATTGTCTTCAGCTGGGTGGTCACAGGTGAGTGCAGCAATCAGTTTCTAGCCTAAGGAAAGATGCTTAATCCTTAAAGAAATGCCAACGTTGGGAGGGGGAGGGAAGTTGCACCTTTATCTCAAGGGCCTTTTGCTCATGCCATAGGGAATCTCTAAAGCAGATATACAACTCATGCTCAAGGGCCTTGGTCAGGCCCTTTCGGAAAGACAAGGTCAGGCCGAATTAGGTTTACACCAAATGGCTTCCTCATATACCCCAATATAGCCTATTACTTGCCATTTTTATTTGTCAGAACTAATGTGTTTTGGTCCAGCAGCCAGGACTAGAAATGCTTCCCAAGCAAGAGCAGTTAGAAATGAGGACAGAGAATTTGGCAGCGGGGTAATCAACAAGGAAGAAAACGCAGAACTTTAACGCACTTCACAGTCGAAATTCAGCATTTTCTGGGTGAGCGTGGCAAAGAAGCGGGTCAGAACAACTTTAGGAAACAATTAGGGACATTTTCAGGAGCTCCCCACACACACTTTGTCCGCATTACTGCAGGATCAACAGAATGGAAGTTGCCTGCCCGTAGGAAGAATATGTCTCCTCCCCTTGCAGGGCTTCCTCTCTTCCTCTGTCCCCTAGAGGTCCCCAGGGGACCTAAGCAGCCAGGAGTGGTTTGGCGCTGCGTCTGGACCGACCTGGAGCGCAGAGGCGGGGCTTTGCAGACGGTCTGCGGCTGACACAGGCTCCCGGGCCGCCGGAGCGCTCACTGCACTCCGGGCGCGCTCTCTGTTCTTCCGCAGCCCGGAGGCTTCCCACTGCAGCCGGCGCCCTAAGGTCAGTGCCCAGGAAGCCATGGCGAAGTCCAGGGGCCGCCTCTACCTTTGGATGTGCTTGGCTGCAGCGCTGGCATCTTTCCTGGCGGGATTCATGGTGGGTAAGTGCACGAACCCCTTCCCCCAGCCCGTTGCTGGTGTTCCTCCCTGCAGCCGCCCCTCAGCGGGGAAAGCGCGGGGAAAGCGCGGAGCTGCGGTGCTTGGGCTGGGTGTGGGCTCGCCTGGCCAGCTGAGCCCCCTCGGCCTGGCGAACTCCGGAATTTCGGCAAAACTGGAAACCGAATGGAATGCATTTTAGCCTTTCTGATAAAGTGTGTCTGAAATTCAGATTTATTAAATACTCACTGAGTTTAGGGTAATGTTATGGGCCGTGGAAAGACAATTTAGAATTGTCAGTATCCGAAGGGATGAAAAAGATAATTTCATTTCCAAGCACCATTAATGAGTCAAAACTTGCCACTAATATGGGCAGCACTGCAGAAACTGCCTTTCCCTCATCATTTATTAAATTAGTATTTGTGGAATGCTCCTGTGTGTCAGGCACTGTGCCAAGAACCAGATACCTCCCGCCACCCCAGCACAAGAAAGACAGAGATCCATGCCTTGATGCCTAACATCCCTCATATAAAACTCGTTTTAACCAACTCAAAATTATATTACACAGCAGAATTTGAAGGTTTTCTGCATTTAATGTGAATATTTTTGTAAATATCGTCATGATCTATTTCTTAGGGAAGGGCTATTTTTTGGCTTCTAGTTTTTGTAAAAGTAAAAAGCAATTATGTGTGTATGTGGTGTGCATCCGTGTATGTATTCTTCCCCCAGGCTGGTTCATTAAACCAATCAAAGAAACAGCCACTTCACTGCGCTATCATCAGAGTATACGGTGGAAACTGGTATCCGAGATGAAAGCTGAAAATATTAAATCATTTCTTCGGTAAGTTTTGCATATTTGATTTTAAAAATAAAGTGGTTAAAATATTGCAGAGTGAGAAGTGTATTAAAACTGGTTATCTTCATGTGGGTAATCTTCTTTGTGTGAGATTACGATATCACACCAATATATGATAATTTAAAATGTCCATTTAAACTACTCTTAGGATAAAATCTATTTGAACGTTGCAGGAGTGAAGTCTTTCCTGCCTAACTTCATCTACAGAAAAAGTATCTGGTTGCTTTGTTAGATGTTTCAACTTCATGTAACTTTGGACTGCAACTGAATGTTGTTCTTTGTTCCTCGTGCCTGGGCTTAATCAGCGATTTTATTTAAATGTCTTATTCTGTCAGGAAGTTTAGATGGTTGTAAACTCTGGTTTAGAGGAAAGAGATTAGAGTTTCAGATTGTGTCTGCCACAGATTAAACTTTATCCCATGTTACAAATATAAGTAACACAAACAGGACAAAATGAAAGCAAAAGGGTCAGTGCAAATCCACCAGTCTCTAAGCATGAAAAAGAGTGATGTTCAGGGCAGTGATTATGAGCTCCCTGAAGGTAATGACCATGACATTTATTTCTATCTTCAGTCTCTATCAAAGTAGTGTCGTATAAAGGAGCGTCAAAAAGTGGCTTTATTGAAGTATAATTTATAAAAAATACACTGCATCCACATAAAGCCTACAATTTGAGCGTATTGACAGAGGCGTCATATACTCTACAAACCACTTCCTCAATCAAGATACAGAAAAGTGGGGTCGAGTGGTTAAGTTCGCGTGCTCCGCTGCAAGCGGCCCAGTGTTTCGTTGATTCGAGTCCTGGGCGTGGACATGGTACCGCTCATCAAACCACGCTGAGGTGGCGTCCCACATGCCACAACTAGAAGGACCCACAACTAAGAATATACAGCTATGTACGGGGGGCTTTGGGGAGAAAAAGGAAAAACTAAAAAATCTTTAAAAAAAAAGATACAGAAAATTTACAGTTTATTCTTCCCTTCACACCTGGCCCTAGGCAATCAACTGATCAGTTTTATATCACTGTGGATTTCTTTGCATTTTCTAAAATTTTGTATAAATGGAATCATACAATATGTGCTTGTCAAAATTGACTTTAGTGGAGCCATTTGAAAATGGGCTCAGAGCTGCCTTTTCAGAGAAACTGCTTTGCTGTCTTGAACCTTGTTCTGGGCCAAACCTTTGGACTGGGCCAAAATGGCAATGTTTTTTCAAGTAATTGTTTGAGAAGTCAGCAGGGGAATAGACATCCTGATCAGAAAGACAGGATTGTGGACTTTCTTAAGATAGAAATCAATAGTCAATCAATGTTTAGCCAAGACCAGACCTCTGCCTCCAACACAATTAAAATTCTTTGAAATACAACCTCCTTTCTTTGCCTTTAAAAGCCCCTGACTTTACTCCCTAGTGGGACCCTATATGAGTTTCCACCTAAATTTGTGGTCCCCAAATTGCAATTATCTGATCCCAAATTAATGCTTTGCCTCTTAAACTGGTTTCTGTTTTTGTAGGTCATCGTGCTCGTTTGTGTCTGTCATCTTTCACTCAATGTAATGATTTGAGAATTCTTCCAGGGTGTTGCATGTATCAGTATTCCATTGTATGGATATGCTACAATGTGTAGTTGATGGACATTTGGGTTATTTCTAGTTTTTGGTTATTTTGAATAAAGCTACTGTGGACATGCGTTTACAAGTTTTTGTGTGGACATACATTTTCATTTCTCTTGGAGTGGCTGTGTTGGATGATAAGCATATGTCTGGCTTTTTAAGAAAATGCCAAACAGATTTCAAAAGTGATGGTACCATTTTACATTCCTACCTATCATGTGTGAGTGTAGTAGTTACTCCGCATCCTGGTCAATGCTTAGTATTGTTGGTTGTTTTCATTTTAACCATTCTAACGGGTATGTAGTGGTATCTCACTGTGCTTTTAATTTGCATTTTCCTGATGACTAGTGAGGCAAAGCATCTTCTCAACTGCTTATTGGACATTTGTATATCTTTTTTTATAAAGTCTCGGTTCAAATATTTTCTTATTTCTAAATTGCTTTGTTTTCTTATTATTGAGTTGTAGTTCTTTATAATATTCTGGATATAATTCCTTTGCCAGACATGTACTGAGAATATTTTCTTCTGTTTTGTGGCTGGCCTTTTTGTTTTCTTAGTGGAGATTTTGAAAAGCAGAAATTTTTAATTTTCCTAAAGTGCAGTTGACCAGGTCTTTGTTTTATGTTTCATACTTTGTGTCCTATCGAACTTGGCCTGGGAGAAGTTGTGAAGACTTTCTTCCGTGTTTACTTTTAGAAGTTTTATAATTTTTAGCTTGCACATTTCAGCCAATGATCCACTTCAAGTTAATTTTTATGTCTAGTACAATGTAAGAGTTGATGTTTTTTTGTTGTTTTGTTTTTTTAAGATTTTATTGTTTCCTTTTTCTCCCCAAAGCCCCCCAGTACATAGTTGTATATTCTTCGTTGTGGGTCCTTCTAGTTGTCGCATGCGGGACGCTGCCTCAGCGTGGTTTGATGAGCAGTGCCATGTCCGTGCCCAGGATTCGAACCAATGAAACACTGGGCCACTTGCAGCGGAGCGCACAGACTTAACCACTCGGCCACGGGGCCAGCCCCAAGAGTTGATGGTTTTTAAAATATAAATATTCACTTGTTCCTGCAACATTTGTTGAAAGAACTTTTCTTTTTCCATTGAGTTGCCTTGGCATCTTTGTCTAAAATCGCTTGATCATAAATGTGTAGGCTGTTTTTGGATTTTACATTTTCTTCCATTGATCTATTGATTTATATATCTACATATCATTGAGATGTATAGATCCACACTATCCCACAAGCCACACTATCTTGTTTAGTGTAGCTTAACAGTAAGTCTGAAAACCAGGTGGTCAATCCTACAGATTTTTCTTTCTCAAAATTGCTTTGAGTGGCTGGCCTGGTGGAGTAGTGGGGAAGTTTGAGTGCTCTACTACAGTGGCCTAGGGTTCTCAGATTTGGATTCTGGTTGTGGACCTACACACCTCTCATCAAACCATGCTGTGGCAGTGTCCCACATACAAAACAGAGGAAGATTGGCACAGGTGTTAGCTCAGGGACAATCTTCCTCAAGCAAATAGAGGAAGATTGGCAACAGATGTTAGCTCAGGCCCAATCTTCCTCACCAAAAAAGAGAAAAATAGCTTTGACTATTTTAAGTCATTTGTATTTCCAAGTAAATTTTATTTATTTTATTCTTTTTATATACATATATTTTTATTTACTTTCATCCTTTACATACTGTTTTGCATCTTGCTATTTCCTCTTCCAAATATCTTAGCTATCTTTCCATGTCATCTTTTTTTTTCCCCAAATAAATTTTCTAATCAACTTCTCAATTCCTACAAAAAAAAAAAAAACGCCTGCTGGAATTTTGATTAAAATTGCATTGGATCGATAGATGAATTTTGAAGAGAAGTGACATCTTTAGAATATCAAGTCTTTCACTCTCTTTATTCATTCATCGTAGGGATATTTCAGTTTAGCTTTTCACCGCTGATGGACATTTGCATTATTCCCAGTTTTTAGCTATTATAAATAAAGCTGCTATTAACATTTATTTACAGGTTTTATGTAATCGTAGGTTTTTCATTTCTGTGGGATAAATGCTGGGTTGTATGGTAAGTACGTTTTTAGTTTTAGAAGAATCTGCCAAACTGCTTTCTAGTATAGCTGTACCATTTTATATGTTCCGTTGATATTATCACTATTTTTAATTTTATCCCTTCCGACAGGTTCATAGTGATACGTTGTTGTGCTTTAATTTGCATTCCCCTAGTGGCTATGACATTGCGCCTCTTCTCCTGTTCTTATCTGCCATCCATGTGCCCCTTGCAGTGAAGTATCTGTTCATGTCTTGGACCTATTTTTGATTTGGATAGTTTTTTTCCTGTTGAGCTTTGAGCATTCTTTATATTTTCTAGATACCAGTCTTTTGTTGGCTTTATGGTGTACAAATATTTTTCCCAATCTGTTTTTGTCTTTTCGCATCTTAATAGGGTCATTCGCAGGTGAGAAGTTTTAATTTTCATGAGGTCCAGTTTATCAGTTTTTCTTTTCATGGATCCTGCTTTTGGGTTCGTGTCTAAGAACTCTTTGACTGGCCCTAGATCTCTTTTCTCCTTCCAAACTTTGTGGATTATATTTTACGTTGAAGTTTGTGATGCATTTAGAGTTAATTTTTGCATGAGGTGGAAGGTTTGGTTGAGGTTCATTCTTTCGCCTATGGAGGTCCAGTTGCCCTAGCACCGTTTGTTGAAAGGCTATCCTTTTCCGTTTAATTGCTTTTGCACTTTGTCAAAAATCCTGGGCATATTTGGATGAGTCTGTTTCTGGGTTCTCTGTTCTGCTCTATTGATCTATGTATCTACTCTTTGCCAGCACCACACTGTCTTGATTATTGAAGCTATATAATAAACCTTAACAGTGCGTAGAATGATTCCTCCCACTTTATTCTTTTAGACGGTTGTTTTAGCTGTTCTATATCCTTTGCCTTTTCATATAAAATATAGAATAAACATATTTATGTCTAGAAAAATCGTTGTTGGGATTTTGATAGGAATTGCATTAATCTTATGGAGTAATCTGGGACTACTTGACATTTTTACCATATCCAGTCTTCTAATCCGTGAAAAGGTAAGTCTCTCCAATTATTTAGGTCTTCTTTGATTTTTTTAATCAAGATTTTGTAATCTTTGGGATGCAGATCTTATATATATATTGTTAGATTTGTGTCTAAGTATTTCATTTTCTTTGGAAAAAATTTAAATTATATTGTGTTTAATTTCACTTTCCACAAGCCATCTTCAAATAGGGACAATTTTATTTCTGCCTTTCTAAACTTGTATACCTTTTACTTTTCTTTCTTTTGTCCTTACTGTGCTGGCTGGAATTCCAGTGCTATGCTGAATAAGTGTGATGAGAACAAACATACAACATC